TTATCAAGGTTAGACTCAAACCCAACTGTTAGTTCCAGAACATAAAGGCACTTGGACTGTTTTAGGAGAAGGAGATCTGGACGAAAAGTGTCACCAGTAATAATTGAAGGACTTAAAAAAACCATTTACATCAGCATAAAGTGAAGAGCGATGATTAATAGGGCCTTTGCAGCTAAGCAATCACGTGCTGATTAATTCACTGAGAGCAAATGAATGAACATCTTGATTCCCATGGGTGAAATTTACTGGACTGCAAACAAACTTTCTACAGCCGGTCTCGAGAGATCGTAATAAAACTGCATTTCGTAACACACTGGTTTCACATCGTTTCATTCAGTTCTTTACAAGTAGCTAAAAAGAATCACCAATTTAATATAAAAACAAAAATTTTGCTCACCAGTACAGACACGTGACCGTTAACTGCAAAGGGCCTATTAGAGGTTTGAGCGAGTTGGCAATGAAGTTAAGAATTGAGTCATGTCTCCATTTATATAGCGCCATTTCCAGAAGCTCAATGGCGCTTTGCAAAATCGCTATAAAATTTATAGAAATTCAAGCATAAACTAATAATAAAATAAAATTCTATCATAAAAGTATACATTACAGATATTGAATGCTTACTTAATAAATAAATATTAGAACTCGAAAAAGGTAAGTCTAATAATATACTCTAAAATTGTCTTTATTTAAAAGCTTCTCTAAAAAGCAAAATAATTAAAAGCATAAAATGCTTTTCTTATTTTAGGGCTTAATATATTGGTACTCCAGTTCTTGAAATAGCTGGTAGTTTGGTGACAAATGTCTCAGTAATTTAAAATGGCGGTCCCGTTTCATTTAGAGAAATTAAAAATAGAGGGCCACGACTTTATCAGTGCTATTTTGGGTACCGTCACATGTCACCCTCTCTAAATAATGTAGATGATGATAATAATAATATTAATTTGGCTGCATTTCTTACAGGTCGAGGTCAGGTCTCAAAGGCATTCCTAATACTTTAGCATGTGAGGAGCATTTTCAGTGGTAAGTAAAGAAAAACTAAATTAAAGTTTATCTTTCGTATATCTTGCACTAGCCTATATCAACCGACCACCTATAGTCATTGACCACCACTGATACGCAATCGCCATGACCTGTATAAAGCGGCCGTGAAGTGAAGGACCTCTGATGGTCGGTATCACGTTTACCTCTGATATTCGATCATTTTTAAGAATCTGTCAACTCCAAGCGAAATATTTTTAATCAAGCGACCGCCTTTCGTATGGTTACTTCTCAGAATTGCCCTTCTCAAACGACCGATAACCTCCAATAAGCAACCATTGTTAGTCGTCCACTTCTAACATAAATTTTAACAAATTGCCCACATTTAAAATGTAAAGCCTCTAAAAAACGACCGCAATTCATGATCTAAACTTTCGGTTTGCATTGTCACCAACATTTAAACCTTCTCAGTAATAAGCAAGCAATCCACTTCTTAAAAGTCGAAAAATTCCCGTAAGAAAACATTTATATTTAAGTGATAAGAGATTACCTTTAAAAAAGCGACCAACATTTATGATCTACATACTATTATTTATTTGAAAACAATACCCAGTGATGACAGCGCGACCACAGAGTGTAATAAATCGTCTTACTCAAGAATAATTCTTGGTTTTTCTAGGCATAGAATAAACTGTGCTAATACAATGGAGGAACCACTTCTTTCTCAGGAGAAACTGGAAAACGCGACACAGCAAAATGACGGCCTTCTTAGTGAATTTTATTTTTAAGGATCTTTTTTTTTGCAAATAACTATTTAAATAACTTGATAGTATTTGAAATCGCTGGTGAAGATCGATTGCAACGACATCAGCCTTGAATGCGGTTGTCTGGGACTCCGCCAGCTGCGCAATGACTTAATGCACACAGATTTAATTTTAGAGCGGTTTTTATGAGAGGGAAACATACAACATCTTGTAGTCACATCTGATTGGTCGCATTTGTTTTGCCGTAACTTTGTTTTTTTTATTAGGTGAATCAACGAAAATATTTGAAGCGATAACTGAGGCAGCATTTTGTACTGTGTACATCCTGTAAATCATTGCCATAGTTTTCCACTACTAAAACCTTTCAAATGTCAGGACTTTTCTGCTTTGTTTTTTGGGCTTCAATTTAAAAGCAGTTTTATTAATTGTTTTTATCGTTTGTAAAAGTTCAGCAGCATACACGACTTTCAAAAATGGCCGCCAAACTCGGTTGGGACTAGGGACAATTGAATGGAAGCGAGGTAAGTAAGGCCTCATTAGTAAACAAAAATCTACTCAGTATGATATTTTGTGTCAAAGTCATTAACCCCTTACTTCTAAAGACGCTTAAAAGAACTGGAATTGGTGAGCAGAATGACTTTGACACAAAATATCGTAGGCCATGCTTACCCCGCTTCCATTCAATTGTCCCTAGTCCCAACCGAGTTTGGCGGCCATTTTTGAAAGTCGTGTATATGCTTGAGCTTTTTGCTAAGTTTGTATACAAGAGAACCAATATGAGATTGATAAAAATCTAAATCTTTATTGATGGCCTGCTATATTAGGATGACAAAATCACCAAGAAAAAAAGGCATAGTCTACAAAAAAGTTAAAATTTAAGAACTACCAAGAAAAGACAACAAAAAAGCTTTGACGTAATGTTTTTCCATATCTAGACCACGTGTTATTCCCTAGAGTATAATTTCTTTGTTTAACAGTTGAGCACGAGAAGACACATAAATATGGATACAACTCAAACAAAGAATCTCTTATCTTCAAGAGAAAGACACGTGGTCTGTAATAGAAAAACACTACGCCTAAGGCCTGTAATTTTGTCTATTAAACAAGCAAACGAACCAAAACAAATGAACTAAGAAAAAAAAACCCAAAGTAATATCAAAATGATAACGAGTTAGGACAAACCAACAAGCATTAACAACGAGAACACAATACTACAATGCATAAACCAATAACATCAAATAAACACAAAATACATGCTAGTTTTTATAAATACTATAAATGATAGTTAAAAATTTGACGAAATAAATATTAGAGAGTTTAAGATTCTCGTTTACGGCAAACGTGAAACGTCAGTTGACCATTAAAAAATTCTTTAAAACTAGTGAAAAGGAATCGCAAAAATCTCCAAGTAGTAGATCAACAAAAGAATACTTGTCTTTGTCAAGAAGGTTTGCAAAAGGTAAAGTGAAATGGAGGGAAACGATGAAAACGTGGTCAAGTTTTCTGTTTGCGGGAATGAAAAACGGGAATCTTAATCTGCCTATTATTAAACGGCTACAAACGCCAAACAATAGTAGTTGCTCTAAATATGACTGAGAAAATGTTTGCACATGCTCGGGAAAAATGGCGGGAAAAATTGGCGGAAAAATCGTGAATGCGTACTCGTTAGTGAACTGCCAGATCTCATCTTAACTTCTAGAAGCTTGGATCTAACTTGTAGGGTTTTTATTTTTTCCTATTGATTTAATTTACAGATAATGAAGGATGTAAAAAGTATACTTTATTAGGGGATGATTCATATTCTATTTATACCAGAGAGAATTATTCTACACTTTAATATATATTTTTTCAATTTTTTCGTTGGGAAAACTAGTTGTTGACAAGCTAAGCTTTATCAGTTGTTTTTGTTTCATTATGCGCAAGCATTTTTCCTGTCCAGAAAATAAATATCACTTAAGAAACTAAGGTCAATGAAATATGCAATCTAAAATGAAAGAAACGGTTGAAGTGCCTGGTTGAAGTTCAAACATTTTCCATGGATAGGTTGTCTCACGGTGACAAAATTTGTTTTCGTTTGATTGTTAAATAAATATAAATTCCCAACAATCCAATAAGGCCCCTTCCACACGTGTCCGCAAATTTTTGTGCCCGTATCCGGAAATTTTACGAAAACGGATACGTGTGAAAACGATTCGAATACGGTGCGTGTGGACGCGAACATTTTCGTATCCGCAAAAAATGATTTGCGGATACAAAAATTTCCGGATACGTGTGGACGGGGCCTAAAGCAAAATGAAAAAACCTATTGTTAAAATGGTTGGCACATTAACACCACAATGGTAATGTTTATAGACATTGTGTCCACCTTTGAAACTTACTTTGATTAGCGATATTACCGTAAATTGAATTTGTCAAAAATACTGTGCACTAGTTTACATTTTTTAGCTGTTTAGAGGTGTTCAATTAAATCGAGAGAAAATAGTTTGTGATAGAAAACCAGCGAGATTGCTTATAAAAGAGTTCTGTCCATACTATTGATGGCTTGCAATCATCTCCAAGACTGAGAGTCAAGACAAAGACATGGCGGCCATGATGGTGGTATTAACAAAGAAAGCTGATAAGAAACCTTTTCTTAAATACCGTCAACATGGCCACCATCACGTAACTTCCAAAGGAAGAGTTAGTTTTTCAGTCCACGGCACAGGATCATCGTCCGATATATATGTATATTGAAAACGCTATGATTCTGAGTTTGCGCTGTGATTGATATGATCCCACTAACCTGTGTCAGTGTGGACGCAAAACCGCGTGCTAGCGAATATCGAGAAGTGATATTCGACTATAGAGGCTTTGCACCAGCACGTGATGGCAGCCATTACAGTAGGCACAACATTAGAGCATTTCCCCCCCTGAAAAAGTGAATTCTTTTTCGTGTAAATCAAATTAGACCAGATTCAATCGTTCCTGCCTCCTGTCATGGCTGCAATCACGTGATGGTGCAAAGCCTCTATACGGGCTTCTGAAAAAAATATCAGTCTCTCTTCGAATCATCTCTGCAGTAGCAATTCATGAAGAATTTTAAAAGTAATTTGAATTGCTCAATCGTATATAAATATTGTATCAATGAATAGATCTGCGTCTTACAAATAACTTAGTAGTTGGGGTGTGCTGAACTCAAGGTAACCATGGTCGTCCATTTGTAAGCTATCTACTCATAAATACTTAATGTTAATAATCATCCTGGATATGCATCTGCTTGCCATTATTACATGTGTAGCAGTACTTATACGTACTTTCTATTTCAGTAAGCTTCACAGGTAGTGACCAAAGAGTATTGCAAATATAGTTCGCTGGAAGTTGAATGCCTTAGTTACATTCCTCTTTTGGTTTATGACCGTTGCTGTGTTTTTGCTCTCAACTGCCCTGTTTATTGTGTTATCTATCGTCAGAAATATTTCCATGGGACTTGTGCGGATAGTAGCTTTTATCTACAAAATCGTTTTGAATTATTTCCATGTGCTATGTGCTAGTTATGCGCATGTTCAAATGTCAAGGACGCTGGCAATAAAATCCACGTGACTGGATACATTGACGTCATCCAAGGTTCATTTGTAGGAGCTCAGGGCCACTTGGGATATTATTTTGTTAGCGCAGTCTTATGATTGGGTTACTCTTAAAACAAAGCTTATTTTTGTGACTTCGTCTTTGTAAAAAAACAAAAGTCATGTGTTTCAGGGATCGATCATAATCCTGAGTCCTACTTTTGAGTTTAACATCACACGCCGCTCAGATTGTAACAACGGAACGGTTTCTGATTGGTTAAAGCTTAGGTAACTTAACTCCATAAAAGGGCAACAGATTGTCCAAGATACTTTTGGGTCACCCATCCCACAGCAAAGCTGCAGTCTTCAATATTTTTTATCCACTTTTCTATCAAATTACATCGTTGCGTAACTTGGTCTCTGTAAGAATATCATGGCTGTTGATATGGAAACTGTTGCTAAAAATAGGAGCAGGAAGAGCCTGTCGATCACCTTGGCAACAGATTCCCATTCCTCTTGGATTCCTTCGCTTTTCTCTTTTTCTCTTGCTCTGTCCGCCAGAATATTTATGCCCTCGAGGAGTCGATCGTGTGTTGGATTTCCATTGCCTCGGTACTTCACGTTATTGTCATTGATCGAAGAAATGAAATCTCGTGAATTGAGAGACTTGTCTCCTGGTTTAGTTGTCATGACGATGACATCTTTGGGGTCGTTAACGTCACCATCGGGTGGTTTGCCATTGGAGTCGGGGTATATCGGGAGATAACCGTGTGTATAGTTATTGGGCATTGAAGATAGCTTCTTCTCAGATCTTTCTTTTGGTCGGGTAACCCTCAATATGGGTCCTAGGAAGTCTAGAAGAAGGACTTGGAGCCATCGGGGAACGTCAGATTGAGGCCCTGTGGATTCATAAATATTCAGTACAAAACAAGTGGCGATCAGCGCAAGCCCGATCTCTACCATCGAAGCCACAAAGAATTTCCCGATGAGTGGCGTCACGTCGGACGTCGTCGGAGTGTTCTCGGCAATCATTAACATAAATACAGTCATGGCAAGGAGTGTCGTGATGACAAGGGTGACTCGCTCTCCTGTGTTGGGTGGCAGGACAAAGGTCAGCAGGGCAAAGGCGGTGATGAGGAAACATGGTACAATAAGATTGTTGAAGTAGAAGAGAACCTTTCGACGGATATGTAGCGTGAATTCCAGGTTGGGGTATGGCTCTGGGCAGCAGCTATGGGCAAAATCATTAGGGTTAAACTATTACGTTCATTTAAGCAGTTTAAAACGCGTGCGTCTCTGTACAATGATATAAACAAGTTTAGAGCAGTAGAGCAGGATAAACGCAAGCTTGAAAAAGGCTATGCGTGGCTGAGTGTTTCTCCGTCTTACTTTATCTCGTAATCTAAAGCTCCAAGATAGTGTGTGTGTGTATGCACCTACTTCAAAAAACGTTGTCATCGCCAAAGACGATAGGCGATAGGTTATTCCGACATGGAAATGGTTTCGTTGAATACAAAGAACATCGAATCAGTCTCAGCACTAAGGTCCATACTAAGGTCCACTAAGGTCTTGACGAGAATAAGAAGCAGAAACACACGTCATTACAGCAATTCTTGGATCTTGGAATGACATATATCCTATAGCTTTTCTAGCCTATCGCCTATTAGCTATCGCCTTTGGCGATGACAACGTTTTTTGAATTAGGTGTATATCTTATTACAGAGACGAGTGCCTGCTTTTTTTAAACTAATAACCAGTATGGACTTCTTCGGTGTAAAATAATATTTACGATTTTGCGCAGGCTTGTCTTTGCCCTATGATAGGACACCTTTTTCCTCGCACTTCATTTCCGCGCACTTCATTTCCGTTGTCAAAAATACGAGCTCCATTTCTCCATAACGCGAATATTTCAAGATGTCATACCTGTATTTGATGATAATCCTTTTGACTGGAGCTTCTATCATCTCGAACTCTCCACTGGGCATGTACGCCTTGAGATCTACTCCATTACTCATGTTCCAAAGATCTACTCTCAGCCCATCGTACGTCCATGAACCAAACAAAAGGTCACATTTTTGATCGTCAAATGGGAAGAATTTGATATCAATGGCACATCTACTCCGCAGGATGGTTGGCGCATACCACGTGTTTGTTCCGTCGGCGTTCAGGATCACTTTGGTTTTGAATTTGTCCATAGAACCGCTGGTAATACCGCTGTCGGCGCTGCGGGCGCAATGTTATAAATTTATGTAAATAAACATGGTAAGGTCGCGATATGGGCAATGATACTAATTCGTACGTTGGTTGCGCTGCAATGCGTTCCCATTTCCGTCCACCTGTCATTCCTTACAAGATAAGATTTCTTGTTTAAGTTGAATTCATATTGTCTCTTCTCATGCGCAACCGTTAAACAAAGAAATGATACTCTAGGGAATGACACATGATCTGAAATGGGAAAACATTACACCACGACTAACATCCAAGGTCTATTGGTTGACCATTGTGTGGGACCAGATGTTAGTCGGTGTGGGAGAGTGTAGTATATTTTTGATTTTTTTGGTTTATTTCAATTTATGCTATCGTAGGTTTGTGTATTGTTTCTGTAAGTTTTGTGTTTACGCTCATTTGGTTGTAAAGTTAATGAAATAACATAAAAATAAAATGAAATGGATATCGTCATCTTGGTTGAATTTAACAAAAGACTTGTCGAATTGACCTCTTCGGCTTGGGTGTAATGTTGTCCCATTTCAGACCACGTGTCTTTCTCTTGAGAATGAGATTCTTTGTTGGAGTTGTATCCATATTCATGTGTCTTCTTATGTGCAACTGAGCGCAACCGTTCAACGAAGAAAGGACACCCTAGGGAGTGACACGTGGTCTGAAATGGGAAAACATTACGCCCGAGCCGAGGAGGTCTATTATTTTGTTATATCATCCAACATGGCCGCCACCTCTTTTGTTCTTTCACTTCCTTGGGTATGATTGAAAACCAGCAATAAATGCGAGGATAAAATTCTCCCCACCGATTCCTGGTGGTGCGTGTATTGTTGGTGTTATCCAGCTTTCCACAAACATTGATGGAATACATTTGATCATCAATACTTACTTGTTATAGAGTATAATGTCAGGTAGCCATACCAGCTTGGGATCCACGTTAATAGACTTGATGCCTCCGTAATGGGACGAATTCCAGCGCAGCAGATGATTGTTCCATGACTGACAAAAGAAAAAACTTTTCCTTAGGAATATATTTTTTTCAGTGAAGGTCTTTCAGCTTTGTAATGGACAGGGCTTAACCTAACCAGGAGTTGATGATGAGGATAATGGTGATCATGCTGGAGGTGATGATGATGAGGGTGATGATGATGATGTTGATAATGATGATGATGGTGTTGGTGTTGGTGGCAGTGATGAAGATACTCGAGATACTGCTTGGGGAGGATGATGGCCGATCGGAGGATGATGGCGATGTTGTTGATTATGATGATGATGATGGTGATGATATTGATGATGATGTTAATCCATGTTGATGGTGATCATGCTGGTGGTAATGATGATGATGATGATGATGGTGATGATATTGATGATGATGTTAATCCATGTTGATGGTGATCATGCTGGTGGTAATGATGATGATGATGATGATGGTGATGATATTGATGATGATGTTAATCCATGTTGATGGTGATCATGCTGGTTATAGTTTAAAGAGGTATACAGGAAAAACATTTCAAGATATTTTATTTACCAACCTGCCGGATCCACACGTTACTCACTAAAACTTGATTCTTCTCATCCTGTAAAACAAATTAAACCACGTTCATTAAAGTAACAAGGGAAACAGTATGCAACAAAACATCGTAACTGATAGTTAATAGGAATAATAATTTATAACTTAAAGGTCTTCATGTGTGGAAGTAATAGCTCACTTCCAAAATATGCTTCTCTACGCTTGTCATGCACAAAGTTTTCAATGCAATACTGCATGCATAATGCTAAGTGATTCGTGAAAGGAGAAAAGAATAAATTTAATTTCGCATGCAGCCTTGTACTAAAACCTTTGTGTGTGGCAAGCGAAGCATGTCTCGGAACTGGACGTTGACTATTGACGTCGTGTTTTGTTAATTCGTTTGAAGTATTATGAAGTACGGATTTGTGGCTTTCGAAGTGCACGCGGTCTTAAGTGTATCCAGTGTGTCAGCTATCTCTACATCAACAATTATTTGTAACAGTGACGTCCCTTTAATTTGCTTAGCAACGAGGCTTACATAGATGGGACCGTCACCGATTTAATTTACTAACAGTGGGCAGGCCATCCCAAGCTCATCGACTGCATGATTTTATTCTGCAATAGTACGTTTGCACAATGGCGTCATTGACCTCTACTACCAGACTCCCTTGCGCACTTCCTTTTGTTCAGTTAATTAGCACCAATTGTCTTACTATTCTCATGAGGGAATACAAATAAGAAAGAAAATTCGCGAAGCATCTTGGTAGTGGGAGTCAAATGACTTCATCATGCAAACGCCATATTAGAGTACAATAAACATAATGTAGGCTTTCTTCTCTCAACTAAAGCCCTTGCCAAACATGCAAGACTAATGCCAGACACGTATAGTTAAACTTAGCTTTGCATTTAATAATCCACTAGGACCTTACCAATTCCACTAGCTGTGTGTAGGCAATTCCGAATTTCACAACAATTGCAGATTCCTTTTCTTTTACTGGTCTCACTTCTTTGCTGTAGTTGGTAAAAAGATCGTTGACTAGTTGTAGTTCGTCGTCATCACTCTTTACCACTGCGTCTGAATGGAGAATAGATATGGAATCAAATACCGAGATAAAAATATGTTAATCATTCGTTTGCACGTGACGTCATAGCCGCCATCTTGGTTGCATTTAACAAAAGAATTGTCAATGAATTCTTTTGTTATATTATGCGCATTTGATCATATTCAAATGTTAAAATGCGCAATATAAGCAATAAATATTATAATTATTATTGTTATTATTGTTATTATTATTATT